TTAATGTACTCGTACGGAAAGACGCCCTTTCGAGTCAAAAGATTAAAATTGCCTTCCGATAAATTGGAAAATTCACGTCGCAGTACCCGTAACTTATCATTGTTGAGAAAAGATGACAATTTGTCCAAACTAGAAGCCAGAAATATATATGAATCTATGAAACGTAATTACACACAATTTTTTTTATCAATTTTGGTACTATCGAGGTGTTTAGTGAAAGATATATATTTTTCTTTAGTTATTTGAAGCAGATCTACGCGTCCTTCATATGCGGTTGCAATTTCTTCGATAATAAAATGAACGTCATAACCTGATAAGTTATGGAAAACTACGGGTATGCAACGCGAATCCTTATAATTTAGTTTGTAATTTGAATGCGCGGGTCCTCTGTATCGCCCGGTTAAGTGGCAGTGATCGCGTATCCGCTTATCGTCTTTTGCGAACGGTTTCTCGCACACGTGACAATGCGAAGCGCCGTTAAATTTGTCCCAGTTGTCGCGCGTAAAATCTGTCGTGGGAACATTGGCCGAAATTATAAACTGTACACTATGCGCCAAATTTTTTAATACTTCCGTGAACCACGCTATGCAGTCTTGATCACGACGAAAACGATAGCCCGACAGTGAACTGTCGTAGGAGCAGTACACGAAATACCCGATACTAAAGACGTTGTGATGTTGGTACGTGTGCGTAGCGGATTGTGAATCGCTATCCGTTTTCTCCAACGCACATTCAAGATCGGCGTAGACTATGAATGGGACGCGCTCTTTCCGTCAATGGTTGCGGAAGCTCAACCACTTGTCGTCCTCGCTCGGTAGTCTGATTGCGCAATCATTTAGTTTTCCACAATCCTCGCTGTGGGTTTCCAATTTTGTGCTCGTGCTAAAGTAGTGAAGGCATCTGGAATCAATTATATTATTATTATTGTTGTTGTTGTTGTTATTATTATTATGTTCCCATCGCAGAAATATTTCTTATGCCCCTTTTTATTGATTTGTGAGCTGACAAGGCGGGATAGATTTTTAATGAGCGCAAAGTGTCCCACGTTGTCATCCTCCAAGTACAACAGGTTTACGTGCTTGCTCCTCTTTCGGTCGGTGAGTCGTATCGGCACAATCCTCTTCTCATCTGTGTAGACGTTGATGAAAATGTTGTTTAAAGCTTCAAATTTCCTAATGTGACTCAATGTCATTGGAAATTCAATGCCCGCGAGATTTAAGTACCGACGAGTAATGCGGATATGATGATGTTCTATGCGCAATACCTTGAGCAGGATGCAGAGCGACAACAATCGACCACGCGAAACACGCATTGTCCGTGGACTGCACGTTGATTACCGCTCTCTTTAGCATAATTTCTCGCGGGAGTTTGGTATGACTTCCCGCGCGCAGAGGATTGTGCTTATTCGCATTCACCGTCAAATTTAGTATACGCGATAGGGCCCATCCGCTGTGGCGTTCCTGGAACTCTTCCACCGATGCTAGAATAGGCTCGACGATGCGCGTCACGTACCACTCACGCAAATCGGTACATCAAAAGACTTCAATGTTCTGGATGGCGATACTCTTGTTCGCGCGTTTGTCACCAGCCACGAACTTACCAGTAAAAATAGTGTTTATTTTTATAGAGTCATATATCTGCATGGTACACTGTACACGCTCGAGCACAATTTCACTCGCGTCTTCGAGAAATCATCGATGCTTGATGTGGTTGGCGTTTATTACCGCGCCCATCAGAAAACGGCTTTCAAACGCCGGTTGGATCTCGCGCCATCGAAGTCCATATCCTGCGCCAACATGCACGAATCGTCCACCCACAAAATCCTTCAAGCTTTCAAGCCGCCCGATACATGCGATCACTGATTGTCTATTACCAATCGATAATCGTGGGCGTTTGATACGACTCTGCTCCTCCAGAGATTCTACAAATTCATCGCATGTTGTTCCCACGCGACATAGTCTTCACATGTATTAAACTGGGTAGCTTGCTCATTCAAATCATGCTCCATGTTGTCACTTGTGCTGAAGATTGACTAATGACGGGATGTGTCTAAATCTTGTCATTTTTATTTCATTATGCGCGCTATTTTTTTAATGATATCATACATCTCATGCTCTTGAAAAAATCTTAAATTACGCTAACAAAGCAGCTATACTTTAATGAAATTGCAAATGTTATATTTTTTGCGCGTGTTATATCAAATTACATTGATGATATCACCGTAAAACATATTGTACAATGTTGAATATCCTTGAAAAAATTTCTTATATTATGTTGACAAGCAAGTATATATTTGAAAATGTTGCATTTTTTTGCTGTTTTCAATTACATTGATGTCATCACCGGATGCGTCTAAAATCCTTTATCGTAAGGGGTGCACTTTTGCACGTGTTAAAATGATGATGTCATCACGAAACGTATTGCAACTTGTTGAATGTCCTTGAAAAAATTCTTGCATTACGCTGACAAAGCTGCATTGGAACTTGCAAATTTGCAGACGCTGCAATTTGCAGTATTAGATTATATTGATGTCATCACCAGATGTGTCTAAAAAACCTTTTTGTTACAAAAATTGTTGGAGGGGTTAAGATTTAAATTGAGAACGGTATAATGATACTGCATCAGTCGTCCCGACAGATTCGTTTTGCAGTGATCTTCAGTGCTATGGATTCTTACGTTTAACATGAACCGTGCAAGTAAGTATTTGAAATGTATTTGTGAAAATTTTTTCTCTGTAGATTACTCATTCGTTTGTTCTTCTTCATTATAGCGCGTCTTCTCGTACATGAGTCACTTGTGCTGAAGATTGACTAATGACGGGATGTGTCTAAATCTTGTCATTTTTGTATCATTATGCGCGCTATTTTTATTAATGATATCATACATCTCATGCTCTTGAAAAAATCATAAATTACGCTAACAAAGCAGCTATACTTTGATGAAATTGCAAATGTTGCATTTTTGCAGGTGTTGTATCAAATTACATTGATGATGTCACCACAGACCATGTTGTAACATGTTGAATATCCTTGAAAAAATTTCTTATATTACGTTGACAAAACAGGTATATATTTGCAAATGTTGCATTTTTTTTGCTGTATTAGATTACATCGATGTCATCACCGGATGCGTCTAAAATCTTTTATTGTAAGAGTTGCACTTTTGCACGTGTTAAAATGATGATGTCATCGCGAAACATATTGCAACATGTTGAATGTTCTTGTAAAAATTTTTGTATTACGCTAACAAAGTTGCATTGGAAATTGCAAATTTGCAGTATTATATTACATTGATGTCATCACCAGATGTGTCTAAAAAATCTTTTTGTTAGAAAAATTGTTGGAGGGGATAAGATTTAAATAGAGAATGGTATAAAGATGCTGCATCAGTCGTCCCGACAGATTCGTTTTGCGTTGATCTTCAGTGCTATGGATTCTTACGTTCAACACGAACCACGCAAGTATTTCAATTGTACTTGTGAAAAATTTTTCTGTATAGATTACTCATTCCTTTGTTCTTCTTCATTACAGCGCGTCTTCTCGTACAATTTTGAGAAGAATATTCGCATTGACACCGACAACGTACAAGTTTCTAGAGATTGGAGATGCTATGGGACCTATTTCCTACGTGGAAATGACCATTGGCGACACCCGAGAAAACTACATCTTCCTGCCTCAAGTTATGTAGACGGCATTTGTCAAAAAAAGGGCGGATATCGAGCAATTGATGCAGTCGCCTACTCCATCATTCAGGGGCTTCAAATAGAACTTGTCAAAATACGTGATGTGGACAACGTGAAATTATCTTTGTGTAATAAATATTTATACATGAAACCGTCAACTATACTTTTCATGCTCGAACTCGAGCAATGTGTAGAACACGTATATTGTGAACTATGCCAATACACAAACGATGTGAGCGAAAAGTTTAAATATTTCGTTACTTATTTTCGCCAAAACTGTATAAATAACAAGTATGAGGCGATAAGCATTTTGCGTAAGATTTACGATGAAAATTCATATATTGAATGCGAATTGATAGTGTACGCTGTAGATAATATTGTATATAATGCCTTACATGAAAAATAAATGCATATATAAATTGTATATCCGAAAGTTTGCAATTAATTGTTCCTTCCTTCCATTCCTTATCTGTACGGTATCACGTTACGCGCGAACGCTTCATCGCGCTCGACGGTATTGTCTCTTACTAAGATCTCGATTCGCGCTATTAAATTGATTAATTGCGAGACTCAAATCGTAGATTAATTTTGCGTGAACAGGTATTCCTGACAAGCAGTTGCATTGAATAAACGCAACGAGGAAGATTACCCATAATTGGAAAAGAGACGGTGAGTATACATGATAAGTATAGCCCTCGCGGTCCCCACGCGCTCGGAAGAGGCGACGGCGGCGGCGGCTGCTACGGCCGGAGAGACCACGCCCGGCGGATACTGACCCCGCGTTATCCGATAACGCGCCACGCTGAAGATATACCACGCCTCCGCGGGCCCCGTAATTTTCTTTTCTCCCCGCTCATATTTCCCGCAACGTTATCCTCCCACACCCCCCTGAAGTCATCCCCTCGCCAAGTGGCGTCATCCTCTTCCCCGACGTCATCCCCCGCACCCTGTAACACCACCCCCCACACCCTGTGACGTTACTGCTTGTGACGTCATCCCCTCATTCCATGACGTCACCCCCTCACCCTGTGACGTCGCCCCTGTGACGTCATACCCCTCCTTCCACCCCGTGACGTCAGTCCCCTCACCCTGTGACGTCATACCCCTCGCCCCGTGACGTCATTCCCTCCCTTCGGTGACGTCATCCCCTCGCTCTGTGACGTGACTGTTTGTGACGTCATCACCCCCCTCCCCTGTGACGTCATCCTTCTCACCATTTGTGACGTCATCCCTTTCCCCCCCTGTGAGGTCATCCCCATCGCCGAGGGTACTCCTGCCCCTCACCCTTCTCGTTGCCCCTGAATTAGAACCGGCCTACTCATATTGTATCAACCGGTAATTGAGTCATATAAGTGCAAAGCTCATTCAATCTTTCATCGCAACTACTTCCTTTGAAATGAATTTTTCTCGATTGAAGAACATCGATGTCCGAATCCGTTACCAAACTTATTCGTATTGTAGAAAGTATATCGCGATATGTGCTGTCGCCTCTTTGTCGCGTATTAATCAAGAGTTCGTCATAATCGAACAATTTCCACAAATCAGATCCACCCATGGCACCCAAATACTTCTGAATCTCTGATCGAGACATTTTAACGAACGGAGATTGTTCTTTTACAGGGGGAAACTGCAACAAATCTCCAAAAAGAAGAATATGTTTTCTACCAAAGAAACCATCATCTGTATCTGTCGTATCAAAGATTTCACATAATCGTAGATTAATAAACATAAGTGTTACATTCGAAATAATAGATACCTCATCAATTATAAATAATTCGATAGTCTTTAATTTGTCTCTCAAAGTTTTCAAGACCATGTCTGACAAGTGCGTATACTTTGCCGTAGATTCATGGGTGACGGGTAGCTGAAACATTCTATGGATCGTCAAGCCATCGATATTGAATGTCGCGATACCCGTGGGAGCAGATAGGGCAGTCATTTTTTCCAAATGTATTCTGATCCAATGTTTAATCGTTTCAATAAGAAAACTTTTCCCTGTACCACCCTCGCCACTGACATACAGTCGCAGAATCTGATTTTTATTTTGTAAAACTTGGCACACTCTATCGAAGATTCTTTTCTGGTCTTCGTTCAATAGCGGCATCATTTGCAATAAATCAATCGAGACGTCTTACCAAAATCTTCCAGATCTTTCATCGCGTCGTCAGCTTCTATCGGATTACAATCCAGTCCATCGTCATCGGATCTGTCTCTATCTGCTGTCTTCAGATCATTTTCGCACATCTCGATTAATTCAGCAACGTTCTCAAAAGCTTTTTGTATTTCTTCGAGCCTTTCGTGATATTTCAATGTCTTCGTCAAAGCAGACGCTGTATTCTTAAGGCGATGCTAAAGTCTCCTGTTTTACCACATTTCTATTCGGTGAAAAATCTCCGTATTGGATGTACGGATTGCAAAAGTATTATTACTTAAATTATAGTACGCATCAACAGGACCTCAGCTGCACTGGATTTTATGAGAAAATCGTAAAAAAATTTAAAATTTATTAAAAATTCACTTACTTTTGGCTCGTACAGCTGTCACCTCAGATATGTATTTGCTTAATATAAGAGTTTTAAAGTCCATATCTTGAAAATAAGCGTGCAGCTGAGGTCACATTATTGAAACCAACGATAGTGAGTTTGTAGAACTAAGATTGAAAGTCTAGAAAAGCAATATTTTCACCGAATAGAAAATACGTGTATATTAGTGCTTTGCGAAGACTGGGACTGTCAACAGAGCCGAAATTCCGTGTAGTAGTAGTTGCGCGGTCTTGCGATAGATGGCGTTGTAGAGCGTTCGGTAAAACAGGTACTAAACATGATACCGTTGGTTCGAATACGGCCTTGAGGCCCTATATAAGAATAAATTGTTATATATAGTACAGAAATGCCGGAGTTTATACGATTTTCATTCAAGAAACGCCGTTTTCTTATGTGGAAATTATTCGTACGCGCTCAAGATGAGTAGCTGGAAAAATATCGCATACGAAAATTTTACATACAGTTAT